CTCTGTGAGCCGACTTAAGAATTCCTGGTCTAGCTCTTCCCCGTGGTCGGGGGGTCTGTAGCAGACCCCCACCGTTACGTCTCTATCCCCTCGACTGCCCTGTATCCTAACCCAGAGCACTTCCGTGTGCCCCTCCTCTGACCCTGTGTCACTTGTTGAGGATGTGTATTTCTCCTTGATGTAGAGTGCCACCCCCGCCTTTCCTCCCTGTCCTGTCCCTCCTGTACAGCCTATAGCCCTTGATATTCACAGCCCAGTCATTCGCTGGGTCCCACCTATGTTCTGTCTTCAGTGCCTGAAACCACTGACTAGTCCCAGTGCATCAGCTCTGCCTCCTGCTTTCAGGTTTTTTTTTGAAGCACTTAGTAGGCCTACAAAAATCTAACCCACCCCAGTCAAAAAAAATCACCCTCCTGCAACCCAGCAAAGAGCTTAGGGCATCCAGTGCATGTCAGATGATCATTGCTTTTGCTTTTCAACTCCATAGACCCTCCACATCCCCCTCCATTCTTGACAGCTTTGTTCACTACTCTCTGGAGGGCTGGGAGAAGGATGACAGATCTGGGTGGGTAGGAGGTGGGGTTGATACTCGGTGCGGCTGGTCTCTGCTGACACAGCCATTGCTTTAGAGGCAAGGTCACCTCCTCTCCCTGTGCCTTGATTTCCCAGTTCATAAACTGGGAAAGAACAGTATGTTTCTCACTTGTAAAATGCTTGGAAGTTGAGGCTGAGACATGCTACAGCCATATGCAAAGCCTGACATTAGAACCCAGCTCATCCTTTCAATGCTAAGCTGAGCTTCCCCTACTTAGATCGGTGCTTTTATTTCTCACCTGCAAACACCTTCTATGCACAGGGCTCAAAGATCTTTATAGACACCTCTGAGAGCTAAGTATTATCCCTATTTTAAATCTAATTAGAAATGATCCTGAGAGGCTCAGTGATTTGTTCCTGGTTCTGTAGTAACCATGCCCCAGGTAGCAGGATGCCTCTTAATAAGGTGCTCACAGGGACTCCCTGGACCTCAGATGTGGCAGCATGGTCCTTTTAGGCCATGGGAAAGCAGAGTATATGCTTGTGGGTTGTCACACAATGGTAACTTTGCTGGTTACCTTGCAAACACCACAGTCTGCACAGGAAATGTTGAGCTCCCCTCAAATCACTGGAGGAACTGTAGCTAGAGCGGAGACTAACCAGATGACCTGGGATTAAAAGTTGCCTGCGTTTGTTCAGGGCCAAGTACACCAGCAAGGCACCTGGCAAGGCTGCTGCGAGGGTGGGGAAGGGACACGGTACAGCGAGGCTTTACAGAACGGTGTGAAGAGCGAGGGGGAGAGGAGGAGAAGCCGCCCCAGCATGAGGGCTGGCATCGTGCGGGGGCAATGTGGCCAGGCGTGATACCAACACATGGGAAGGGCAAGGATTAACAAGGCAGGGCATGAGGAGCTGCCTGCAGGAAGGGGCTCCTGCTAGGACAGCTCTACAGCTATAACACATGCTGACCAGGGGCTAGAGACTGCTTGTGTGCAGTGGGAGCTCCCAGCAGGGAAGTGCTAGGTACCATCACCCTGTCCCGTGCTGGCTCGACACTGTAGAGCCTCTCCTAGGGGCAGGCCAGGTGCTGAATGAGCCTGGGACACCTGCAGCACCAGCCACAGGGGCGTGGATCAGTCTCTACTATACCAGGAATGATCCCAGGCGCAGAACTGGGAGGAGCCCTGGAAGCTGCACAAACCAAGCGTTGAGATGTGCCCGTCGGCCCCCTGCCATAGCCAGCCCATGCCGGGGTGCTCCTTCAGCATAGGGCCATAGGGGACCTCAGTGCCATACCTATCTTCAGGTCGCTGGCTGTGCGCGGTGACACCTCCTTGAAGCTGAACGGGGTCACCTCGCTCCACATGCGGAAAGCAGCCGCCAGCCCCTTGCGCGTGTCACTCCTGTTGATGAGGTTGCGAGGGAAGGACAGGATTCTGGAGAAACATGGTGCCACATTAACTTGTGCCTGGGCCAGCCTGTGCTGCCCACTACCTGGTCCCTGGGGTGGTTGCCTGCAGAGGCCTCGGTCCTGAATTTTCCAGGGACTTTGCTATGGGCTCCAAGCCTCATCCACAGCCTATCGGGGAAAAGCTTGCACAGGCTTAGAGCAGGCTTGCTATGGGTTAGCAGGGTGATCAGCAGGGTCTGGTGGGTTCCCTGCAGTGCCCTATAGACTACCAGCATCCTCACCCGTATCCCAGTAGGTGGTACTGGATTCTTTGTCTTTAAAGACCCTGTACTAGGGGTTATTGGATAAGCATGCTTGGTTTTCTCCCCGTGGTGCTGCACTGTTGTTCAGATGCTCATGTCCCACCCCAGAAACAGCTGCTTTCAGTAGTAGATGAAATAATTCCTGCAAACACACGCCGCAGATGGTGCAGGATAGTATCCCACTAATGCAGTGGCAAAAAAACCTGGCAAGCCTGAAGCAAAGGGCCTATTTATCACATAAAGAAATTGCCGCTCCTGCAAGAAGCCATATTACCTGGAGATGGACCAAGGCAGTAGGGTAACCTTTTTTGGCAGATGTGCCACAAATTAGCTCTGCACCCTCACCAAGTGTCTCCATCCCCCTTCCCAATCTGCTGCTCTGCTTTCTGCCCTCTGCTCCCTGCCTGAGCTGCTGCTCTGCTTTCTGTCCTGAGCCTCCTGATTCATCTGCTGCTCTACTTTTGCTCCCTCCCCAGTCTGCTGCTCTGCTTTCTGCCTCTTGCCCTTTGCTCTCTGCCTGAGCTACTGATCTGCTTTCTGC